TACAGCAGTCAGAGAGAAAAGGATGTTTCCCAATAATGCAAGAGGCCTAAACTTTAATACTAATTAATGCAAAAATGTTGGAGGGGGCTTGGATATGAACTACACTGAACATGTTTGCCTTTCTGCCAGCACGTCTCAGTTTGATGCACACTCTGGACGCTAAAAGGAAAAAGCTACTAAAGTTTAAGGTTTTTGAAAGAGAAAAATAAATAAATCAGAGCAACATGGTGAGGACCGAACATGCTGCCTGGAACAGAACTGGTCTGACTCATTACCTGGAATCTCAGTTTTATTTCTACAGATGTCGCTTCAACTTCTCCACTGTTAGCCATAAAAATTGGTTTTACACAAAATGCTGATTCGTTTGCCAATTCATGCAGATTTCAAATGAACACCAATAAAACGTGAACGTGTATCCGGTGCAGAATGTCGTAGTGGCTCCTGCTTCTCTATAGTGCATCTGACTAAATAAAACAACTTTTAAAAAAATGGAAAACAATAAGAAAATTAAATTACAAAGCAGCAGCAATTACCCTTCAACTAAAAACACACCAAGTGGCAAAAATGCGTGAGATCCGTCCACTCTGAATCAGGCTCCTCTTTAAACATACATTCAAAAACCTTACAGCAAAATTGAAAACAAAATCCATCTTTGATTCGTAGTCTTTGAAAACTGCTGTACAATAAAATCGAACAGTTAAGAAAAGGCATAAATACGCTCTCTCTTACAAAGAAGTGTTTACGAAGCTCCCAGTCGAGACCGAAGGCTCCGTTTAATGTTAAAACTAAATATCCTCAAAATAGCTCTCACTTCCTAAGAATTAATAAGTTAATCATTTCCGACCCTCAGTGCAAAAATACCAAAAACCAACTGAAAGGGGGTGGGGCTTCGAGTCACGTGGACAGTTTGCGTGTGCAATGAGTAATCCCCACGGGATGAAGGTCTTTTTCCAGGCACGAGTACTCCGGCTTTGTCCACGGCGCCCTTGGCAGGTCGGTCCTGTTCAGAGGATGTGGTGGCGAACACAGAAGCTTAATCACGCAGCTCACAAACAGCTCCCGGGGAAGAGGCTGCCGCCATGGAAACGAGGTCGCAGGAACTTCCTCCATCCTCCTCGTGTCCTTCAGTCGGCGTTGTCAGGGCCGTCTGAGATGTGGGACGGTGCGTATTTTAACCGGAACCCACCTGTGACACAAACACACAAACATCAGCTCGCAGTGCTTCGTCACGACTACGTGACTCGTCAGGACCAACAGCGTTCAGTGATGCACGTTTGCTGAAGAACAAACAGGCCCGCGCTTCAGGTTTGTGTTAAGACTGGTTCGACAAACCCACACACACTTATTCTGTGCGCTACATTACTCTACCTGTGAGGAAGGACGACTGCAACTGTTTCCAAACACGTTAACCTGTTTAAACCCATCACAGCCATGAAGTGTGAGCTGGTAATACTGAAGATTATAGATTTGTACACAGTAGTGCGATTTATACCAATACAGCGTAAATGTGCAACACACTACAGGAAGCTGTGCGGGCAGCATCACCTGCCGAGACTGCAGACACACTAATGCAGAAGAACACAGCAGCGCTGATGGCAAAACAGGAGGATGGACGCGTGTCACAGAAAACAACGTTAAATGCTTTCACTGCACAACAGCATCACTGCAGCGCACGAGCATTTCAAACACCGGCACCCTGAGCTGTGACGCCGACTCTGAGTGGGTCCATGATGATCTCTTATTTATTTCACTTGTGTTTTGATGGTCCTGTTGAGTAACGGTAAAAATACATTTGATCATTTTTAAATTCATGTGTTTGAGTCATTAGTTTTCTGTGGGAAGACACAACGAGGCGATATTCATAAGAGAACATGAGGTTTACCCACAGGAAGTGGAGGTTAGCAGTGTTGGTCAAGTTACTTGAAAAAA